CTCCTCCGCTTCCTCCTCCGCTTCCTCCTCCGCTTCCTCCTCCGCTTCCTCCTCCGCTTCCTCCTCCTCCTCCTCCTCCTCCTCCTCCTCCTCCTCCTCCTCCTCCTCCTCCTCCTCCTCCTCCTCCTCCTCCTCCTCTTCCTCTTCCTCCTCCTCCTCTTCCTCCTCCTCCTCTTCCTCCTCCTCCTCTTCCTCCTCCTCCTCTTCCTCCTCCTCCTCTTCCTCCTCCTCTTCTTCCTCCTCCTACTCCTCTTCTTCCTCCTCCTACTCCTCTTCTTCCTCCTCCTACTCCTCTTCTTCCTCCTCCTCCTCCTCTTCTTCCTCCTCCTCCTCCTCTTCTTCCTCCTCCTCCTCCTCTTCTTCCTCCTCCTCCTCCTCTTCTTCCTCCTCCTACTCCTCTTCTTCCTCCTCCTACTCCTCTTCTTCCTCCTTCTCCTCCTCCTTCCCCTTCCCCTTCTCCCTTTTTCTCTCTCTCGATACGCAGTTCATTGAAATTCTTAATCTTCATTTAAAAAAGCTCAATCTTCCGCCTCAGTTTCGTGATTTGCTCAAGAATTTCTGATAAGATTGGGCGTAGAGGCTGAGGGTGGTGCGTGAGATTACTGTTAATAAAGTCGTTACTGAGGCTGTTATTATTAATGTTCTCATTATTAGGGCTATTATTATTAATGTCCTCATCATTTTCGTTATCATTGCTATTATTATTATTATTATTATTATTATTATTATTATTATTATTATTGTTATTGTTATTTTCATTATTAATATAATTATCTTTATCTTTATCATTATCATCATTACTATTATCATTATCCTTCTTCTTCTTCTTCTTCTTCTTCTTCTTCTTCTTCTTATTATTATTATTATTATTATTATTATTATTATTATTATTATTATTATTATTATTATTATTATTATTATTATTATCATAATTATTATTTTTATCATAATAATTATTATTATTGTTATTATAATCATTATCATTGTTCTCCTTATCATCATCATAATTGTCATTATCATTGTCATTGCTATTAGATTATATTTATTGTTAGCATTATTATCATCATTATTATTATCATTATCATCATTATTATCATTATCATTTTTTTATCATCAATGTTAGTATCAACGTTAGCTTTACCATCGTTATTTTATTGCCTCTTGCTATCCCTAACATCATTATCTTTATCCTCATTATCATTATTGCTACTTTTCTCATTATTACCATCATCACAGTTCCCTCTTCCACATTCATTTTCATCCCCCACGCCCCTCCCCCCCCAAAAAAAAAAAAAATAAACCTGTGGTACACCTTTGAAAAAATATATGTTTTTTATTTCTTTTTAGACTGTAAGTACGAATGTTTCTTTTTGTTCAGACTTCAAAGTCTTGCTCGAGCGTCTACCTTTTCACAAGAAAAGAAAAAATATACGCAGTGTGTATGTGCGTACTCTACAGGGATGCATTCATGTGTGTATGCGTATGTTTATACATACACACTAACACACATATACACAAACACATATACATACATACATATGTATGTGTATATATATATATATATATATATATATATATATATATATATATATATATATATATATATATATATATATATATATATATATATATATAATCAATATCTTTAAAGATAACGAAAGAGAAAACAAATCTTGCTCTAACAAACAAACAAAATCCTTACCTTATTCACGCTGATCTGAGGAACACCAGTCCGCTACAATCAAGCATTCACCCCTCACGTAAATAACGACAAACAAACACAAACACCAACAACACACGTAACATTCTCTCATAAAACTCCGCCACAGAAGCTTCAAACAAACTACACCTAAAACTATCCCCCCAAATGTACTAGTAAAACAAACCCAACTAAAACTACAACAAACCCAATCTACGTAGAGATAACAGAGATAACAGAAATAACCGACAGTACCCATAATCTCCCTTACCTTGATCGGTTCGAGTCCCAGAGTGGCTGTGACGGAACGGCGGTGCTTGACGCTACGTGACGGACGCACCTTGCCGTCACGTCCTGCTCCACACATCATCTTGGTGACGCCCCTTCGCAGCGCTTGTCGGCCGCACTTTGACGGGCCAGGGTGAGGGGAGAGGGGGGAAGAAGGGTGAGGGGAGACGTTGAAGTGGGTGAGGGTGTGGTGAAAGTGGGTGAGGGGAGAGGTGGAAGTGGATGAGGGAAGAGGTGGAAAAAGGGTGAGGGGGGGAGGTAGAAGGAGGTAAGGGGAAAGGTGGAAGTGGGTGTGGGGAGAGACGGAAAAAGACGAACTGAAAAAAAGAGGGAGAGGGGAAACGAGGAAGAGTGAGAGAAAAACAGAAAGGAGTGAGAGGAGACGAAGAAAAGAGTATAGGGAGACGCGCAGGAGATTGAGAGAAGGAGGAGACCAATGACAAAGATACAATAGAAAGTACCGAAAGGAAAGACGGAAGAGAGATATCGAGATGAGGGAGAAAGGGAGAATAG